GTCGAGAAAGAAAGAATTGAACAACAGAAAAAATCTGTGAGCAAATGAGATTTGTGTTGTGTGAACCAACAACTTACATGCAAACACCCACTTCACCAATCAGTAAATACTGTGCAAATGAGGACAAATATAAACCTGACTTGCATTGAGTGTTGAGGACAGTTCACCATTGTTATCTACCATTTACTGTGTGTTGATCAGCAGCTGTGGCCAAGGCAGCTTCTTCCTGAACTTACACCACAGCTCCCAGACCCTTGCGTGGAGCCAGGGCCATGTGACTAGCTCTCATCACTGGAATGTGAGCACAAGTGTGAGCACCACAGCCAAGCTTAGGAGTAGGTGTTGTCTTCACCATCCCTCTTCCAGCCGGACATAGAAGCTGCCACGGAGCACCCTGGGGCAACCAGACGGAAGAAGATGCAGTCTCTGAACGACCACATGGAGCAGTCTCCCCTCCCGTGCAAACCAGTGGACTGGGACCTCAACAGTGAAGTGTCAGGCCTTCAGCTCCTGAGATCTGAGGTGGCATCACAGCAGTCAGCTCTGTGCACACAGTGACACCTGACTCACACCTCCAGGGCTTGTGTGATCCTGGACGCACACTAACCTAAGAGCTTTAGACAGCTATGCTTCAGGGAATTTTGTCATCCACTAACTTCACATGGCCAAAGAGACACAACACCTCCAAGAGCCTCACACTAGGACGAGTAACTTTTATACAATAACCTTCATTATAGCATTGTTAGCAAGAGCAAAAGTCAAAAGGGTACTGGACAAATTAAATCAATGAGGAAGTTCTTTATGTGCTGATAGGGAAATACCTTGGATATATTAAGTGAAAAAAAAATAAGGTATAGGACAGCATACATCAGCAGTTTACAAGGTCTGATCCAAGGACACCTGAGGGTGCCCAAGACCCTTTCAGGGAGTCTGTGGGTCCACCCTGTCCACCTACACATGTATGTGAGGCCATATTTCCTTCTATAGCTCAATCAAAAAACAAACAAGAGGGCCAGCCCCGTGGCCGAGTGGTTAAGTTCCCACGCTCTGCTTTGGCAGCCCAGGGTTTGACCAGTTTGGATCCTGGGCATGGACATGGCACCACTCATTAGGTCATGTTGAGGTGGCGTCCCACACGCCACAACTAGAAGGACCCACAACTAAAATACACAACTATGTACTGAGGGAATTGGAGGAGAAAAAGCAAAAAAAAACAAAAAAAAATGATTGGCAAGTTGTTAGCTAAGGTGCCAATCTTTAAAAACAAACGAAAACAGACTGACTGCAGAAGCAGACAGGGGAATCCAGCTGTTTTCCGTTAAGCAAGTCACTCAAGAAATTTGTTCAAATGTGAATGCTTTGCTGTACTTATTTTGTTTCAGAAAATATTTTTTATAAATTGTTTTTAAAATGCCACTCTACAATGGGTCTGCCATTTTTCCTAAGTTTTTAAATTTGTCAATTTATTTTCCAATATAGCAAATATTGATAGATATAACTTACATTTAAAAAGCTCTTTGGAGGCCTCAAAAATTTAAGTGTAAAAAGATCCTGAGACCAAAAAGTTTGAGTATGTTGCTGTACATACTATCCTTTTGAGTAAAAAAGGGAGAAAAATAAGAATATGTCTTTGCCCTGGTTTACTTATGCATGAAGAAATTCACGGAGGATCAATAAACCAGTATCAGTAGTTAAGCAAAGAGAGGGTAGAAAATGGGCAGATGGAGGACCCTTTACGGAATCTTTTTTTTTTTTTTTAATTTTGGAGCTATGTATATGTATAACCTATTCAAAAAATTAAATTAAAAACCAAAAAAGAGGCAAAGACAGCAGGGGTCCACCTGGCACAAAATGGGAATGAAGTCAGGCTGAAAGGGGACGGCTGCAACATCTGGGTGCAGTGTCTCCCCTCCCCGCATCCAGAATAACCATCTCCAGGCAAAACATGAGAGGATTCTCCTCTAGAGAAATGAAACCAAGAGACCCACAGCTTCTGGAATGAGACTCCTCATCCTATCTCTAACAGGCAACCACACATGACCACAATCAAAGTCTGCAAAAGGAGAGATAAACAGAAAAGCTACCCCAGAGGAAACCGAGGTAACTCAGGAACTAAAGGAAATTTAAAATAAGTTTTAAAAACAAAACAACACTCAAAACATGTACCCTCAGATAGTAGAGAAGTTACTGGACCCACACTGTCAAGTGGATCTGGTTGAGGAAGGTAGTGTCAGTTTAGTGTTATAGTGACCTTAAAAATACTACACACACCACCCATCTGTTCACGAGGAAATTATACTCTTATGAATGCACGTGGCATAGGAAAAAGAACGTTTTAATATCAGACATAAACCCGTTTCACTTACACCTGTGTACTGCTGAGAAAAGTATTGAGCTTGTGAGACTGCTTCATCCAGCGCAGCTTGGATAACAACTGCTTTACAGAGTTACTGTCAGCGCTTAATGAGTCCTTGCTTCCTGATGTGAGTCCATGCCCCAGCACTTAGGGAATGCTCAGTAAATGCCATTCTCACTGCCCATGATGCAGCAGAAAAAGCTAACAAGTGTCACTACAAAGTAATTTTTAAAAAGCAGACTGACGGTTGCCAGAGGTGGGGGTGTGGAGGGTGGGAGAAATGGGTGAACTATTTTGGGGGGGTTTTCTATTGTGGTCATAATAGCTTATAATGTAGTGAAATTTCAGTTGTACATTATTATTTGCCATACTCCACACAAGTATGCCCCTTCACCCCTTGTGCTCACCCTCCACCCCTCTTCCTCCAGCAACCACCAATTTGTTCTGTCTGTAAGTTTGTTTATATTCTATGAGTGAAATCAACGGTGTTCACGTTTCTGTGTCTGGCTCATTTCACTTTTTCATTTAACATGATGCCCTCAAGGTCCATCCACGTGGTTGTGAATTGGACGATCTTGTCTTTTTCTCTGGCTGAGCAGTATTCCATTGTATATATATACCACATCTTCTTTATCCAATCATCAGTAAATGGGCACTCAGGTTGCTTCCACATCTTGGCTATTGTGAATAATGCTGCAATGAACATAGGAGTGCATAAGTCTCTGAATTGTTGATTTCAAGTTCTTTGGGTAAATATCAGTAGTGAGATAGCTGGGTCATATGGTATTTCGATTTTTAATTTTTTGAGAAATCTCATACTGTTTTCCACAGTGGCTGCACCAGTTTGCATTCCCAACAGCAGTGGATGAGAGTTACCTTTTCTCCACACCCTCTCCAACATTTGTTGTTTTTTGTCTTGGTGATTACAGCCATTCTAACAGGAATAAGATGATATCTAAGTGTGGTTTTGATTTGCTTTTCCCTGATTAGTGATGATGAGCATCAATTCATGTGCCTATTGGCCATCTGTTTATCTTCTTTGGAAAAATGTGTGTTCATATCCTCTGCCCACTTTTTGATTGGACTTTTTTGTAGTTCGTTTGTGAGTTCTTTATATATTACAGAGATTAACCCCTTATCAGATAGGTGATTTGCAAATATTTACTCCCAGTTAGTGGGTTGTTTTTAATTTTGATCTTGGTTTCCCTTGCCTTCCAGAAGCTCATCAGTCTGATTAAGTCCCGTTTTATATTTTCTTTTGTTTCCCTTATCTGAGTAGACACGGTATTTAAAAAGATCCTTTTAAGTCTGATGTCAGAGACGGTACTGTCTATATTCTCTTCCAGAAGTTTTATGGTTTCAGGTCTTACCTTCAAGTCTTTGGAGTCTATTTTTGTGCATGGGGAAAGAATGGTCTACTTTCATTCTTTTGCATGTGGCTGTCCAGTTTTCCCAGCACCATTTATTGAAGAGACTTTCCTTGCCCCGTTGTATGCTCTTGGCTCCTTTGTCAAAGATTAGCTGTCCATAGACGTGTGGTTTTATTTCTGTGCTTTCAATTCTGTTCCATCGATCTGTGTGTCTGTTCTTGTACCAGTATCATGCTGTTTTGATTACTATAGCTTTGTAATATGAAGTCATGGATTGCGATGCCACCAGCTTTATTCTTGTTTCTGAGGATTGCTTTGGCTATTCAGGGTCTTTTGTTGCCCCATGTGAATTTTAAGATTCTTTGTCCTATTTCTTCGAAGAATGCCATTGGGATTCTGATTAGGATTGAGATGAATCTGTAGATTGCTTTGGGTAGTATGGACATTTTAACTATATTTATTCTTCCAATCCACGTGCTTGGAATCTTTCCATTTCTTTATGTGATCATCAATTTCTTTCACTCCTGACTTATAGTTTTCTTTGTATAGGTCTTTCACCTCCCTGGTTAAATTTACTCCTAGATATTTTGTTCTCTTTGTTTCAATTGTAAATGGGTTTGGATTCTTGGGTTCTTGTTCTATTACTTCATTACTGGAGTACAGAAATGCTACTGATTTTTCTAAGTTGACTTTGTACCCTGCAACTTTGCTGTAGTTATTATTTCTAATAGTTTTCCAACGGATTCTTTAGGGTTTTCTATATATAAAATCATGTCATCTGCAAACAGTAAGAGTTTCACTTCTTTAGTGCGTATTTGTATTCCTTTCCTTTTTCTTGCCTAATTTTCTGGCCAAAACCTGTAGTACTACGTTGAATAAGACTGGTGAGAGTGGGCACCTGTGTGTTGTTCCTGTTCTCAGAGGGATGGCTTTCAGTTTTTCCCCATTGAGTGTGATGTTGGCTGTGGGCGAACTGGTTTTTTTTTAGTTTAAATAAATAGAGCTTTTTTTTTTTTTAAAGATTTTATTTTTCCTTTTTCTCCCAAAGCCCCCCAGTACACAGTTGTGTATTTTTAGTTGTGGGTCCTTCTAGTTGTGGCATGTGGGATGCCGCCTCAGCATGGCTTGACGAGCGGTGCCATGTTCACACCCAGGATTTGAACTAGTGAAACCCTGGGCTGCTGAAGCAGAGCACGCGAACTTAACCACTCGGCCACAGGGCTGGCCCCCTAAAGAAATAGTGTTTTTAAAAAAGCAGACATCACAATGAAACATGCTTTAAGATTAACAATCATTTACTGAATTAACATTTCCACTTATAAACATACAATTTGCATATACAGGGAAAAATAGGTTCTGTGGACACACGGAATACAAGAGATAGGGAAGCAATCAGAAGAAAGATCAACTCTAGTGGGAAAAAAATGGAACTGCATTCCATGCCTCTGTCTACACAAACTTGAGAAGGAGAAAGAAAGATTACACAGGATCACAACTGAAGTAGAAAATAAACTTGGGTCATTCTGTCTCAACTGCAGGAACTTGCCCTTATGATCAGATCTTGGGTCCTGGTCTGGCCTGTTTCATGGATGGTGATCTGAAATCAGCCTCTGGTCTCTCCTTTCTGTTTACTAGCTAAGACCCTAAAGTTAACTGCAGGAATTAAAAGAAGAGAGCTAAAAAACAACCCGGTCAGCAGGTATACAATGTCAACGGCCAACTTTTTCCAGGTACATTATTTAAAAGTGCACACGGAAGTAAAATGCTTACTCAAATCTGAACGAGTTCCTTCCAGCTCACTGGACTTCTTGATGTAGAACTACCTAAGTGAGGCAATCAAATGGTTGGCACCCATGGGAGGTGGGACAGGGAAATGAAATCTCAGCCCATCTTTACACCTGGTATGCATTTCACATCAGCATCTAGTCACTAGCAACAGGGAACTTCCAGTCTCAACTACAGCTGCTCAACAGGGCTGGCCCTAGTGGGGACAGGGACTGAGGATGGGGCACACATGTATGCCAAGCTTCAGTCCACAGCTCTCCCCCTTCAGTCTGAGGGCAGCTGGGGGAAAACCAGAAGAATGCTTGCTTCAAGGGCATTTCAGTGACGTGACTCAATACTCTGTGGTTCCAGTAACCTCAAGCTCAAAATTAATACCCCAAAATGCAACATTAACAACTGAGTTTAATATTCTGTAAGTAAAGCATACAGTCTTAATAATGATTACCATTTGAACAAAGCCATTCTTACTACATAGGATGTAAAATCATAAAAGTAACATTTTTACCAATCAAAATGACAGTGTTATCATACATCACATCTGGTAATTTTCCACCATGTCAAACATCCAAAGAGATGACAATTACACTTCCTTTTTGCTGGAAACAGACTCTCCAGTGTCAACAAGTCCATTAGAATTGACTAGGAAAACAGACCTGCAGTCACCACAAAGTTCATTTGGCATCTGGCTTCACAGGGAGATCTATTTAAGCCTCAGAGATGGAGTCAGTTGACCAGTAAAACAAAAGAGTATGTATGTATGTATCTGGCCAAACAGCATAAAAAATAGAATTTGTGCTACTAGGAGTGTACTTTATGGAAAACAGGGCCACATGGAGTGTAGGGGCAGGGACTTTCACTGTGCAAATCTGCCTTCATAAAAGTACATTTTTTAAAGCATGGAGGACAGAAAACTGGAATAATTAGGAGCTTTAAAAATTCACAGAGATAATAACAGAAATGCAGGACTGTGGGTTTTCCCAAGCTTCACACATAGTTGGGGCTGAAAATTAAAAGGTTTAAGCTTCTCTATGATATTTGAGTCAGAAATAAAAACAAGGCTGATGCCCTGGTCTGGTGAGTGATATCTCAAGGTCATCCATGTCCTTAGGCCTTATTTCCCATCTCTAACCTGAGTCTCCCCCACAGCCCGGCACTGTGCCACCAGCAGGGCTCCACACACACCCAAGTGCTTGGGGACACCCACAGTGCCCCACTCCCACACAGGACAGGAAAGCTGCCCTTCAACAGCCTTCAGAAGTATGGAAAAGAGCATCCTCTCTGCAGTGCACTCCCTGGCAGGCCTGAACCAGTAGCACTGTAACCACGGCTCTCACTCCATTTTCCCCACCATTCTTTTAATATTACCTTCTCAACAAGTAGAAAAATAGGCTCTAAGTGGGCTGGGGTGGCAATAAAAATACTCAAGGCAGACACTAAAAACAATGCCTCTGAATAAAGCAAATCCACTCTACATACTTGTTTGTCATTGTTTTGTCTTCTTCAAGTTTTAAGGGATAAAGCCCTTTGAGGCTCAAGTCAATTCCTAATTTGGAGCATTTTCCAAAGGCCACTACCAAAAACAAACCAGCATCACTGTTAAAGGCAGAACTGCCCCCTCACCCCGAGCAGCCAGCCTGGCTGGAAGCCTGCAGAGCCCCACACATCACACCACTGCCTCAGGGAAGCTCCCAGGCAGCTCACCAGCCCAAACTCCTGAAGTAACAGACAGCCAGTGCTGTCTGAGGTTTCCAGGTCTGATGTTAAACCGAAAGAAGCTACAGCTTCTCTTGCCACACTAACTCACTCACTCACAGATCACCGTATTACCAACTAGCGTAACACTAAAATAAATGATCCCTTAAGCACTATGCCCATCCCTAAAAAGAAAATGTATTTCCTAACAGGTATGTTCAAAAAGGGATTTCGAGGGTTCCATAAGGAAACTTGAAACAATCCAGTGTCCCCAAGAGTCCATGTTTTAGCTAAAGAGCCAGTCCAGTGCCTTCTCTGTGGTACTTACGTGGATCAGTTATAACTATAATGTCACTACTTTGAAAAGAACTATTAAAACTATTATTAAAAACATTTATGACAAACAGAAATGCCCTGCAAATTATATTATTGCACATAGGGTATCAGAAGCTATGCATATCCAGATTTCAAGGACTCTAGAAGACCCAGAACAGAGACCCTAAGGCCATGCCCGTAGCTGCTCCAGCCAGCATGCCCAGCGCCAGATCAGTGTCATTGTCTCGATACCGCTCACGAATGATGACTTGGTTGGCAGGCTGTTGTCCATAAAGTCCTATAAAAGAAGGGAAAAAACAGACCTCTGAGGAGCAGTTTGTGAACCCAACAGTCACTCAAAAAGGGCCCACTGGACTGAGAACCTTTCTGCAAGTAGCTGAGGTCATTCTCTGTGCATTTGTGGCCCTCCTGCTATGGCTGAGTGTGCCTCTGGAGAGTGGTAGGGTGGCTGCAACAAGTGCTCCCCAGCGCTCCTCCACCTCAGGCTAAGGTGACTGGACTTGGCTCAGTGAGAACACCTCCATTTCTAAAATCGCACTAAGAGAAAATCAAGATGCACAGCTTTCCAAGGTCCAAAGTCTCAAATACTGCAAAGAGCAGAATTCAAATGAAGCTGCAAACCCCAGCCTCCAATTTCCACTTCAGCCCTCCACATCACACTTAGGATGACAGGCAGATGGTGGAGAGCATGGGAGATACACAGAGACTGCAGAGAATGGGAGAGTCAAGAATCCCCATTGAAAGCTAAAATTGAAAAACTCATTGAAAAGCTAATTAGCTTCTAAGTATTGATGTAAACTTTTTTTTTTTGCTTGAGGAAGATTGCTGCTGAGCTAGCATCTGTGACAATCTTCCTCTATTTTACGTGGGATGCCACCACAGTGTGGCTTTATGAGCAGTACTAGGTCCGTGCCCAGGATCCGAACCTGCAAACCCAGGCCGCTGAAGCGGAGCACAAGAACTTTACTACTACGCCAACAGGCCGGCCCTCATGTAAACTACTTTTAAATTAAACCTTAAATCTGGTAATATAACTTGCTCTTCATTTTTAATCATGTGAACTTATGGGGAACAATATTTATGTTAGAGAAAAATTTCTAAAAAGCACACTTTAAACAAATTTAATATTTAATTTTGGATGATTAAAGTTTCCAACTGGAAACACATTATTTGTTCTCTTCTATACTTCACAGCTATATAGTCTAATAGGTAATTAGCTTCAAAATTGCTCACATAAAAATAGCGTTAACTTTCCTCTTTGACCCACTATTCCTTCAACAGCTCAACCCCAGGAGAGCCAGAAACTAATCCAATAGCAGTGTGTCCCTGTGGACGAAGAATGGAAGTGAAACCATCCCAGTCTAAGCACTCACACTGTTACAAGTGCTTACATGGACTGAATCCTCACAACAACCTTAGGAGGGTCTACTATTATCCCCATTTTACAGACAGGCAAAAAGTGAGGCACAAAGGGATTAAGAGCAGTAAGGGCTTACAAGGCCAGGCACTGGGGCTACAGTGTGTGCTCCTGACGACTCTCGCTTCAGATACAAAGGCCAGTCACTCTCACCTATAATTTGTTTCAGGTGAGGTGAAAAATGGACAGAAACACATCAAAAGCCCAGAACAAAGATAAGCCCTTCCAGGACTCTATTGCACTTGCAAAATGAAACATCACCTCGGTAGTGATAATTGCTGAAGGATGTTACCAGAAGGAAAAAACAGGAGAAAGATTACCTCTTACCCCTTAAAATGAGCCTCTTACTTTGGCTGCTTCTCAATATAAGTGAAACCTATTTAAGTATACTAATTCTCTTCTTGGAAACAAATGTGGATACAACGGTAAAGTTTTAAAAATCAAGCCTACTCTAGCTTTGTAAAACAGTGAAAATACATACCACATATTTTTTTTAAAAAGCACAGTAGCAGAGTGACGTGTGGTCTATAACCAAAAACATAGCTCTCTTATCCTTAAACTCAGAAATAAAAATTCTTCACTGATCTACCCACTAAACGAAGAGAAACAAGGAATGGAAGCCTGGCATGAGTTACCTGCACATGGGTACTGGTAGGGTACAGCATAAGCCTGCCCATTCGCAGTGTAGACCACCTGAGTTCCGGGCGGGTACACACCGCTGTATGGACCATAGCCATATGCCTGCTGAAAAGAAACAAGCCCATTAGAGATACACTTTTGAAATTCAACGTCTGTATACAACAACAACTCTCAACAAAGGAGGCAGAGAGGGAATGTACCTCAACAGAATAAAGGCCATATATGACAAGCCCACAGCTAAGATCATACTCAATGGGAAAAGGCCATTCCTCTAAGAACAGGAAAAAGACAAGGATGCCACTCTAGACACTTTCACTCAACACAGTATTAAGTCCTAGCCAGAGGAATCAGGCAAGAAAAAGAAATAAAAGGCAACCAAACTGGAAAGACAGAAGTAAAATTGTCAGTATTTGCAGACGACATGATATTATTTATGGAGAACCCTAAAAACTCCACCAAAAAACTATGAGAATAAATGGATTCAGTAAAGCTGCAGGATACAAAATCAACATACAGAAATCTATTGTGTTTCTATACACTAAAACCAAATTATTAGAACAAAAAATTAAGAAAGCAATGCCAGGGGCCGGTCCTGTGGCTGAGTGGTTAAGTTCATGCGTTCTGCTTCGCGGCCCAGGGTTTCACCAGTTCTGATCCTGGGCACGGACATGGCACCACTCATCAGGCCATGCTGAGGTGGCATCCCACATAGCAGAACCAGAAGGACGTACAACTAGAATATACAACTATGTACTGAGGGGCACTTTGGGGAGGAGAAGAAGAAGGGGGAAAAAAAAAAGAAGATTGGCAACAGATGTTAGCTCAGATGTCAATCTTTAAAAAAACAAAAAAAGAAAGCAATCCCATTTATAATTGCATCAAAAAGAATAAAATACCTATAAAGAAATTTAACCAAAGAGGTGAAAGACCTGTACACTGAAAACTATGACACTGAAGAGGACACAAATAAATGGAAAGATATTCTATGCTCATGGATTTGAAGAATTAACACTGTCAAAATGTCCATATTACGCAAAGCAACCCACAGATTCAACGGACTCCCAAGGACATTCTTCACAGAAATAGAACAAAGAATTCTAAACTTCATATGTGCCCCAAGAGACCCCAAATAGCTAAATCAATCCTGAGAAAAAAGAACAAAGCTGGAGGCATCACAATCCTTGACTTCAAAATATACTACAAAGCTACAGTAATCAAAACAGGATGGGACTGGTACAAGAACAGACACACAGATCAATGGAACAGAATTGAAAGCCCAGAAATAAAACCACACATCTATGAACAGGTAATCTTCGACAAAGGAGCTAAGAACATACAATGGAGAAAGGAAAGTCTCTTCAATAAATGGTATTGGGAAAACTGGACAGCCACATGCAAAAGAATGAAAGTAGACCATTATCTGTCGCCATACAGAAAAATTAACTCACAATGGATCAAAGACTTGAAGGTAACCTGAAACCACAGAACTCCTAGGAGAAAATACAGGCAGTACACTCTTTGACAATGGTCTTAGCGGCATCTTTTCAAATAACATGTCACTCGGGTAAGGGAAACAAAAGAAAGAATTAACAAGTGGGACTTCATCAGACTAAACAGCTTCTGCAAGGCAAAGGAAACCAGGAACAAAAGGAAAAGAAAACCCACCAACTGGGAGAAAACATTTGCACATCATGTATCTGACAAGGGGTTACTCTACAAAATATATAAAGAACTCGCACAACTCAACAACAAAAAAAGAAACAATCCAGTCAAAAAATGGGCAGAGGATATGAACAGACATTTTTCCGAAGAAGATACACAGATGACCAATAGGCACATGAAAAGATGCTCAACATCACTAATCACCAGGGAAATGGAAATCAAAACTGCACTAAGATATCATCTTACACCCGTTAAAACGGCTATGATCACCAAGACTAAAAATAATGAATGTTGGAGAGGGTGGGGAGAGAAGGGAATCCTCATCCACTGCTGGTGGGAATGCAAACGGGTACAGCCACTATGGAAAACAGTATGGAGATTTCTCAAATAGTTAAAAATGGAAATACCATATGACCCAGCTATCTCACTACTAGGTATTTATCCAAAGAACTTGAAATCAGCAATTCAAAGAGACTTTGCACCCCTATGTTCACTGCAGCACTACTCACAACAGCCAAGAAGTGGAAGCAACACAAGTGCCCATGGACCAATGACTGGATGCAGAAGATGTGGTATATATATATACAATGGAATACTACTCAGGCATAAAAAAGACAAAATCGTCCCATTTACAACATGGATGGGCCTTGAGGGCATCATGTTAAGCAAAATAAGCCAGACAGAGAAAGACAAACACCATATGATTTCACTCCTATGTGGAAAATAAACCAACACACAGAGAAAAGTTTACGGGTTACCAGAGGGGAGGGGGTTCAGGGGTCGGCATAACGGGTGAAGGGGCATACTTATATGGTGAGTGACAAATTTCACAATGCTATAAACTATTATGACCTCAATAAAATAAAATTAAATTTAAAAGAAAAGGACAGTGGCACAGAGACCCCAACGTCCCTCTCTTGGATCGTATAAGGCAAAGATTTGCTCCCTACCTCAGGGGTTGGTGTGGCATAGGCTGTGTAGGGAGGTGGAGAAGCAGCCACAGCAGTCTCATCATACATGACTTCTGAGCCCACATAAGCCTAAAAGAAGAGAGAAAATATGAAAGACAGTGAGTTGCCACAAAGCACCTGCAGGTTCTTCCTATACATATATCCACTTTATTTAGCAGATAAAAAAATTAAAAGCCAAAATGTTAATCTTTGACCAGCAAATGCTTTCGGAGAAGCAGTAAACGGCAGGAGGACTATCTCCCACACCTCCCCTCAGCTCCACACTCTGGGGTCCTCTGAATTCAGGAGGAGGCGGAGGAGAGCTCTCACTGCCCAAGAGGGCCACAGCACCTCCACTGCTCCTGAGCCTTTGAAAGATGTTACACCACTCTCAACAACTCTTCTGTTCACAAATAAAAATCCTACAATCTGAAGTGTAGCAGCCAGAGATATGTTCTACACACAGAGTCTGTTTTTTGCATTTAAAAAAATCCTTCATTGAATTACTTCCCAGTGGAAAAGAAAAATATATGCACTCTCTAAAAAAATATCCATATAAAGAATCATCTTGACATCTTGCTCCTAACTATATGGATCATTAATACTAATTTCACCCAAGAAGAGAATTTTCATGAGAGAAAAGGTAACTGGAGCTCTACAGTAAGCTCTGGGGGAAGAAGTGTCTTGGGCTAACAAGAGTAGGAAACAACGACCTTTGGATACTAAGTCTTTTTCGTTCTTTTCCCACCCATACAAATGCTTTTATAAGCACCATCTACCTTTTTCTTTTCTTCCTGGAGAGAGAAAGGAAAAAATAAAATCCTATCTGAAGAATGAAAATGCTGACCACAGAGGAAGTCACTCTGACTCCCTGACAGACACAAAGATGGCATCACGAGCCTCTGCAAATGGGGTTGGCTGTCTCAATGACCTCGTATGGTTACAGTCAGAACTAGAGCCAAGTACAAGCCCCAGAAGTGTCTGTTCCATGAGGCTGAGATGCTGTGCATAAAAAGCAACCTGTGGTCCTTTCTGAGCCTTTGGAACTGTAAACCACAGTGGGGTTCACAGTGCTACCAATCTTTGCAAGACACAAACATTTCTAGAAGACAACACTGGAACCAGTGTGCCTGTGTGAGGAGGGCTCCTCCTGCCAAAAAGCTGGGCAAACTCCAACTTGCTCAGTCAGCAAAAGCCGCCCTGCCCAGCTCTGCTTGCTCATCCATGGCTGGATGGCCCAGAAACCCATCTTCCCCATCTCCCTTTCTTCATCTCCTGTTCTCCTGTTTCTTACAGTAAGACCATGTGAAAACATTACTGGTGTCCATTAGCAACTTACTGTATTTGTCCTGGAATCCTGAAGCGTAAATTTCCAGGCCCTGGAGAATAGAAAAAGAAAGGGGTACTTCATCTGAGGCAATCCAACATCTCTCTCTGATTCGCAAACCTGCATTGGCAGCACAGTTTCTGAAAAAGCTTGTTTTAACAGGTCTTCAGCCCTTGCCCCAATACCCACTGGGTCAACTCATTTGAGACATAAAAAACTGTATCTATTGTACCTATAATATGTAACATTTAAAACACAGGGTTTTGCTTCACTTTTCATGAATGTAAAATATACTGTGCTTAACTATACTACAACTTCATCAGTTCATGTCATACACACAGATCTACTTGATTTTGTTAATGGCTACATAATGTTCCATGATATGAGATTTAGATTATCAGCAATTTTTTGTGATTAAAAATAATGTTGGTAATTTTGCCAGCTTGAGAAATTGACATATAACATACCTATGTTTAAGGTGTAGTGATGAGCTGATACACATATATTGCAAAATGATGAGCACAATATGGTTAACACCTCCATCACTTCCCACAATTACAATTTTTCTGGTGGTAACATTTCAGATCTATTCTCTTAATTTTTAAGTATATAATACAGTATTATTCACACAGTCACCATACTGTACATTAGATGTGCAGAATTTATTCATCTTATAGCTGGAAGTTTGTACCCTATAACCACATCCCCCCCATTTCCCCCAACCTCCAGCCCCTGGCAACCACCATTCTACTCTCTATTTCTGAGTTTGACGTTTTTAGATTCTACACATAAATTAGAACACACGGTGTCTTTCTCTGTCTGACTTATTTCACTTAGCATAACAGCCTCAAGGTCCATCCATGCTGTTGCAAAACACAGGATTTCTTCTTTTTTAAGGTTGAATAATATTCCATTGCGTGTGTACACACATGTACATATATATCACATGTTCTTCATTCATTCATCCATTGACAGACACTTAGGCTGTTTCCATGTCTTGGCTACTATCTAATGCTGCAATGAACACGGGGGTGCAGATATCTCTTCGAGATGATTTCCTTCGGACGTATACCCAGAAGTGGGATTGTTGGGTCATAGGGTAGTTCTCCTCTTAGTTTTCCGAGGAACCTCCATAACATATCCACAGTGGTTGTACCTATTTATATTTCCACCAACAATGTAGAGAGTTCCCTTTTCTCCACGTCCTTGCCAACACTTCTCTTTCATCTTTTTGATAACAGCCATCCTAAGATGTGAGGTGATCTCATTGTGGTTTTGATTTGCATTTCCCAGCTGACTGGTGATGCTGACCATCTTTTCATGTACCTGTTGGCCATCGGTATGTCTTCTTTAGAAAAGTGTCTGTTCAAGTCCACTGTGCATTTTTTAATCAGATTGCTGTTCTGCTATGGAGTTGTACAACTTCCTTATATATTCCAGATACTAATGTCTTATCACATAGATAGTTTGCAAATATTTTCTCCTATTCTGTAGGATGCCTTTTAATTTTTTGGAATGTTCCTTTTGCTGTGCAGAAGCTTTTTAGTTCCATGTAGTCCCACTTGTTAACTTGTTTGCTTCTGACGCTTGCATTTTGGTGCCATATCCAAAAAACTGTTGCCAGACCAATGCCAAAGATCTTCTTCCCTATGTTGTCTTCTAGCAGTTTTACAGTCTAGGGTCTTACATTTAAGTCCTTAATCCACTTCAACTTAATTTTTGTGAGTGGTGTAAGACAGGGGTCCAATTTTATCCTTCTGCATGTGATTATCCATTTTTCCCAACACCACTTATTGAAGAGACTATCTTTTCCTGACAGTATTCTTGGTTTCCTTGTCAAGTGTTAGTTGATCATATATGCGTGTATTTACTTCTGAGATCTAGATTCTGTCCCATTGGTCTACATGTCTATTTTTATGCCAATACTATTCTGTTTTGATTACTACAGATTTGTACTAAAGTTTGAAATCAGGAATTGTGATGCCTCCCAATTTGTTGTTCTCTCTTGGGATTGCTTTGGCTATCCAGGGTCCTTTTGCGGTTCCACATAAATTTTAGGACTTTTTGTTATTTTTGTAAAAAATGCCATTGAAATTTTGATAAGAACTGTATTGCATCTATACATGGATTTGGGTGGTATGGACACTAATGATATTAAATCTTCCAATCCATGAGCATGGAATATCTTTCCATTTTATTTGTGTCTTCAATTTCTTTCATCAACGTCTTATAATTTTCAGTGTACAGATCTTTCACCTCCTTGGATAAATTTATTCCTAAGTATTTTATTGTTTTTGATGCTGTTGTGAATGGAATTGTTTTCTTTTTCAGATAGGTCATCATTACTGTACAGAAACACAACTGATTTTTGTAGGTTGATTTTGTATCCTGCAATTTTACTGAACTCGTTTATTAGGTCTAACAGTTTTTTGCTGGAATCTTTAGGGCTGTCTGTACATAAGCTGTATCATCTGTAAACAGAAAATTTTATTCTTCCTATTTGGGTGCTTTTTCTTTCTTTTTCTTGCTTAACTGCTTTGACTAAGACTTCCAGTGCTATGTTGAACAGAAGTAAGAGTGGGCACCCTTGCCTTGCTCCTGACCATAGTGGGAAAGCCTTCAACCCTTCACTGTTGAATATATTAGCTATGGGTTTGTCATACATTAAAATAACGCTGATATTAACATCCTCACTACCTCTCTACCCTTATGTAAATATTTCTACAGGACAATTCCAAAGAGTGAAACTGCTGGGGCAAAAGACAAAATCTACTTCAGTGGGTACTGCCAAATGGCCCTGGAAAAAGACTGTAACAAATTCTATCACCAACTTTTGCCTATGTGACCATAAAAATTAGATACCTAAATCCTAACTATCACAACTTTTCTGCTCTCCCTCCCTCATCCCCTCACCTTTCTGACTCTCCATCCTTCTCCTATCTTTTGTAATTTAGGTTCTACACTCTTCTGAACATATTTCATTGAATCTCTCATGCTAGGACTCACTTCATCAGCCAGAGAGTGTTCCTACTCCTGTGAGCTTCAATGCCTTCCAGTGCTCTGAAATGACAAGCCCTGGGGGAATCTTCCAGTCTCTGCTGAGGTCCCAAAGACATCATATTCTCAAGGGTTTTTCCTTAGCTTTCCCAAAAACGATCTTACTCCTTTAATCAGCATCCCTCCAGACCACAGATGATTACTAAAAATTTGCAAGACTTAATTAACTCATCTTGTTACTGCTTCTGGGAGTTCGGGTGGGGTTAAAAACGGTGATACACCTCAACAGAACCTTCTATCTCTTTCTTTGGCTGTCACTCTCTGTAGTCTGTGCTTGCAGGTGAACTTCTTTATTTGGCTGTTGCTGCTGAAATGTTTTCCCCTTCATTTCACTAGGTAGTTGGGGAAGATGATCCAGATTTACTTCACACTTTTACTCAGAGGCCTCTGTTATGGGTTGAACTGTGTCCCCTAACAAAAGATAAGGTGAAGTTCCATTCCCTAGTCCCTGTGAATTATTCATAAATAGGGTCATTGCAGATGGAATCAAGTTAAGATAAGGTCATACTGAATAAAGCGGGTCCTTAATCTAATGGGTGTCCTTATAAGAAGAGAAATTTGGACCCAGACACACAGGGAGAATGCTGTGGTACAACGGGCAGAGATGGATGGATGCAGGGGCAAGCCAAGAACGCCAAGGCTCACCGCCACAACCAAACCAGGAGGCGGCAAGGGAGGAGTCTGGCCCCGTGGCCGAGTGGTTAAGTTCGCGCGCTCCGCTGCAGGCGGCCCAGTGTTTCGTCGGTTCGAATCCTGGGCGCGGACATGGCACTGCTCATCAGACCACGCTGAGGCAGCGTCCCACATGCCACAACTAGAAGAACCCACAATGAAGAATACACAACTATGTACCGGGGGGCTCTGGGGAGAAAAAAAGGAAAAAATAAAATCTTTAAAAAAAAAAAAAAAAAAGTATTATCCTCCATTGCTATCTTCCCTAACGTATATCCTTAAAATTAGACATATATATAAACCTCTATTTTCCCACATAGGTGGAGAATATCTCAGCCTCCTCTGACCCACACATTCTTCCAGGCCAAACAAAGCAAGTGCTCCCTCATACTTTTACCTGTTCTCCCTCCTACATAACAAAACCTCCCGTGTTCTGATAAGATAAAATTTTAGTTCCTGATATTTTTTCCACTATTACCTAAAGGAATAGTTCATACGTGTGACATCTCAGCATACGGCAGAGCAGATCAGTTGAGGACAAAGGGCTCTGGAGACAAAGGTTCAGATCCCAAGTCTAGCAGACCGGCTCTAAACCTCGGGAAGTGTGGCGGGCAGGATGAAGTCCCTTCCCCACAAAGATGTCCACGTCCTAATCCCCAGAATCTGTGAAGGTGACACCTCAGAGGGCAAAGGAGCTCCAGAACCATAATTAAGATAAAGCAGCTTGAGATAGGGAGATTATCCTGGATTATCCAGGTTGGCCCAAACTAGTCACAAGTCCTTAAAAGCAGATAACCTTCCCTGGCTGCAGAGAACCAGAGAGATGACAGCATAAGAAGGGCTCGGCCTAGAAGCCAAGGAACACAGGAGGCCTCTAGAAGGTGGAAAAGGAAAGGACACAGATTCTCTCCCAGAGCCTCCAGAAGGAACAGCCTCTCTGAGACCCAGTGAAACTCCTGATGAACTTCTGACCTCCAGAAATATAAGCAGAAGTTTGTATTATTTGAAGCCACTATGGTAATTTATTACAGGAACATTAAAAAACTGATACAGTTAACGAGGTTAAGTTACTTAACCTCAGGACGCCTTAATTTCTGATACTAGAAAAAGTAACCCACCTTACATGGTATGGTGAGGATTAAATAACATATGTAAAGCAGTTAGCACAGTGCCTAGTGCAACGTAAGTGTCCAATATATATAAGCTTAAATTATTAAATAGTAATAATATAGCTCCAGTTTATTAAAAAAGTAGTGAACTAGCTTAACATGTGGCCATTTCTCCAACAGTCTTTAGGCAAGCCATATCTCTTCCAGAAAGTATCATTTAAGATTCACTGATATAAATCAAAACAGTATAAAAAAGAAGCTACATCCGGGATTTAAAATAAACCCTATAGTTTAGCATGGAATAAATGTTTAAATTGAGGATGAACATATATGTGAAATGGGGAGGCAGGCATTCTGACAAACTAGTCTGCTGGATTGATTTTATGAACATGTCATATATATATGAATACTACAATAATCTCTGTTAGTGAATTCTCACAATGTCCAGAGTTAACTCAGGGTAGGAGTACAGAGCAGAGAGGAAAAAAAATTCTTCCCTCCAAATTTCATTTAATCAGTATTTTCAAGATTCTGATCCAACATCAATGCCAATGTTGACAAGCTGAGAATTAATAAAGTTGGGTTTTCCTCCTTGCAGTTCCACATCCCTTCTTCAGAGATGGCAGATGGGGGTAAGAACCATCAAGGAAGGAAAAGGCTGCATACTGCAGACATCAGGGCTTTTTAAAAAGACTTTTACATAAAAAGAACAAGATTTAAGAATTCATTCAACTAAGCCCCTTCCCGATGTGCATCTAGTAATGAAAAAAGAGAGCGCAAAGTGACTGGAGGTGAATACTTCCTGTCATTCTCTCTGTAACGGGTTCTGCCAGGGCAGCTCTAGAGAGGCAGGAACTAGGATCAGGGTTATCAGAGGTGGAATAAGATCCTGCTACATTTCTTTCACTCATCCTCTGAGTCACTTATTCTGCTGCCTAAAGGAAAACTCCACTCACATTATTTTCCCTTCCTGATAAGTGAAAATTAAAACAGAAAATACTTTTTAAATTAAACACCTAAGAAAATTAAACTTACAAACAATCATCTGTGCTTTCTGCACAAAGACTGATCGTTTTCCCATCTCGGCAAACAATCTGCAGCATACAGTCTTTCGGCTTCCCATCTGGAGGCTGCACATCTATGACAAAGAAGTAGAATAAAGGAATATTTATATAGTTTTTTTAAAAGGACTTCTTCTTATCTACCAGCTCAGATAAGCAAAGGAGCAGTATTCAGAACATTCCCATTACAAAACATCTTTGTTCGCTCTACAGAACAAACAGGCATCACAACTCCATCCTAATCACACTTCCTGCAGGAAGAACAAGCGCGTCTCTTCCAGACGGCATTCCACAGACGAAGATGGACAGAACAGCCCAGGCCGTAGAAGAATACGTCCCACACAGTGAAAATGTTACAAAGCATCAGACAGGAGAATACTTACTGCTTTTGTTCACAGGAAGCATCAAAACAGATCACTGCTTTAAAAGTGAAAATCTGACTTTTGAAGTATCTCTGTGTACCAAAAAATAAGATCTATGATACGTGAGCCTGGTTTAGGTAGGGATTTCAACAGACGGTCCATGGAGACTTGTGTTTCAAGAACTAATATATAGGGGCAAGATACTACAACGCCAATAGTTACTACAAGCAAATATCTCATTTGTGACTTTTTAATTCATGAACTAATATGTAGGGGCAGGATGGTATAAGCATCAATGTTTATTACAGCAGACTGTTTACTCCAAATAGCAACAGAGTTACTAAAACAAACAGGGAAGTCTACCTATGCCATCAATTAGAAATAGAAAAGTCTAAGCTTGTTAAAAATCTATTCCTTTAAAATGAATATAAGGAATAACTCCAGAAAACCAAGTCAGTCATCATGGATTTTAAGAGACTGACTGTAACTGTCACCAATAAGATGCCAGTTTCTGAGTCACAAAATCTATACTGCCTAGGGTGGCTCCATCCTTCTTGGGATTCCCAGCACACCTTAGTTCTCCACCACCTTCTCCATGAGAGGGGAAGGAATGTGGTCTAATTCAGATGAAAAAGTTAATTTATCCGAACCATATGGTTCATGATCTAAGTGTCTGGGTCCCCACTGTGGTTACCTCTTCCCAGATGAAACACTTCTTTGGTCTATTTACGAAAGCAAAATGGGTAAGGAAGAGGATTCAACTCCCATCAAGAACAGGGAGGGGTAGATGACAGAAGCTGGCCAAGACAGACCCGCTTACCCCGACATTCATGTCCCATGCGGATATTGATGCAGTCCACTGGCATGTGGACCTTATCCTCGACACTCTGCCGAGTTTGGTCATCATAATAGATCAGGTGACCATCCGACCACAGGTCAAACCAATTCTTCTTCCAGCGCTTCAAAATAGTACCTGAAAACAAAGAAAAGTTGGCTTTGAGCTGAAACTTTGTCCTCTAATTCACAGGGAACAGAAGCAAAGAAAATTTTCCTCTGGCCCTATAAGTACACCTGCACATAACTGTCCGGAGCAGTCCATCCAAATGAAAGTGAAAGCAGACCCCAAGGGCATGAACACCCACGCTGTACCAGGGCTGCCTGAGGCACACACTAGAGATACTAAGAACACTGACAACTTAAAACTCCCAAAACTTAAAAGAAAAAATTCAATAAAACCTTGATTTTGAGGTAATGAAAGATGTCTAACATTTAATTCTCCATGCAGTCTCTCTAAATTTTCCCAGTAGTATCTAACTTTGCTGGATTGATCAGAAAATGTTAAAGTCTCCATATACAAATAACAATAACACCTTCTTTTGGAAAAATATGTTTTTCTCTTTTCCTTGAAGAGCTTTCACGGATACTCTTCTCTAACATTTGTTCTTCCCTTAAAGCCCACACCTAGGAGGACCTGCCTGCCTGAGGCAGACGCAGAGGCAGGCTCAGACAGTGGATACATCCACACCCAGGACACCAAACCCAGGTCCGCGGCCTGACGCCTACCCTCCATGCATCCATCCTACTACCTCACACATCTCCATCAGTTTACGAGAATTCGTCCTTTCATTTGTAATCTTGGACCAGACATTTGACTTTAAAAAACTCTAATTTCCTTGCCAGCCAAAAGGGAATACTAAAAGGCCAATTTTGGCTACAAAACTCCAAGTCTTCCCTGCACCTTTTTCACATCCACACATACTTTTTGTTCCTGTAGATCCCGACGTGCTCTTGGCCAACGTGCACAAATCCACTCCATGTACTTCTCTCCTTATGCTCCCAGGTCTGCTAATGGTTTCAACCAAATATGTGACACAACAGCCTTTCAAATTTCTTTTACCACTATCAGGCACTCTTCTTGCTGAGAAGGGCAGCCACAGCACTTGCCCAAACTGATAAATGACACCCAGCACCCATTTGACTGGCAGCACCTGAGCTGTGCAGAAACTACCAGATAGAGGCACCCAAACACAGACAGGTGGAATCACTGGGTTGGGGAGTTCTACCCAAGTATCTCACCTGCCATCAAAGCCCTGACTGCAGATTCCCAAATTAGGCGCCCTCCAGAGTCCAGATACTGGGCCCTAAGGGTCTATTTGGCAACGGCAGGAAAAGGAGTTCTGGAGACAGCTTTGCATACATGTAATCACATGTGTATCTCTGCTGCTCTGTAACCCGGTGAATATATTACATCTCACCTCATTTTACTATGATTGATACTCCTGCTTTTAGCAAAGGAAAATCAACCCACACATTGGGAGGTGGTGAAATGGAATCAGTCTTCTGAATACACACTTTTGACATAGCCATGGCCTGGGACATTGGAAAGACTGTACAACTTACTAAAAGGACATCTATTTTATGCACATCATCATGCTAGGCACTGATAGGCAAGAGAAAATTGTCAAAAGGGTCACTGTCCACTTAGGTTGACGGAGCACTTACACTGAATTATGGTGGAGAAAGGAAAGCTTGCCTTCAAACATGGGTGCAGTGGAGTCTAAGAAGAAAACCAGAGGACATCGGAAGAGCCAAGAAAGGCAGGCATATCGTCAAGGTCTGAGAAAAGCTCTCCATGTCCCCTGACCATTTGGGGGAGGTTGGGATCACAAAACTCAAGATAAGGAAACTTACACAAAGACTGGAGCTCAAATCCAACATGCCAAGACTTTCTTTTTAAAGCCAGCATTACAACAGCTCTGCCCATTCCTGGAATACAGCACTAGACAGACCTTGAAGGGACACCTGCTTCAGCTCTAGGTCTGGGAATGCAGAACTAGCAGCAGGACAGACAGGCTGACGCTTGTCTCCTGGTAGAAAGAGTGTCAGTGCTGAAATGAGACAGTCCTGAGTGTGAATGTATCTTTGCCACCCATTGTTAACACTTGGGCGAATTATCTCCTATCACTGAACCTCAGTTTCTTCAACTGGAAACTGGGATAATGCCACCACCTCACAGAGCTGTTGTGAGAACTACGTACCATATGTAAAATCTGTGTAACAGGAACACAAACGAGCTTCATAAATAACAGTTTTTATAAATCATCTAAGGTATACAGCCCATCCTTCACCGCTTGTCTCAAGGGCAACAAAGCTCTGACGGTATCTCTCAAATATAAATTCATAACTAAACAATAAACAATATATACGACAGCTCAGTTTTTTGCTGGAGGCATAAACGATGTAGTCAATTTTCCATTAACTCTGTTCTTTCTAGAAGGACAGCAGAATAATCTGCTTACTCTTTCTTCAATAAACAGAGCTGGTTCTTCCAGCTTCAAAACACACTAGGGCACAACCAGAAGGTCCTACAACCAGAATGCACAACCACGTACTGGGGGGCTTTGGGGAGGAGAAGAAGAGGAAACACAGAAAATTGGTAATAGATATTAGCTCAGGTGCCAATCTTTAAAAAAAAAAAAATCTTCCAGTCAAAAAAGAAAACCACACTATGAATCCTACTTCAGACGGCAGCCTCAGAGATAAGCAGAGAGCATATGAAAGATAAGCCCCCAGAGATGAGTCTCAGGAAGCAGATCTCAATCCCATAAATAAAGAATTGAGTCTCTTCTCCAGAGACCTTTTGGAAATACAAAAGGTTTGGTTTTATTTATTTTTTTGCTGAGGAAGATTCACCCTGAGCTGACATCTGCTGTCAATCTTCCTCTTTTTGTATCTGAACTGCTGCCACAGCATGGCCACTGATGGACGAGCGGTGTAGGTCCATGCCCAGGAACCAAACCCACACCAGGCCGCCAAAGCAAAGCGCACCGAACTTTGCCACTTAGGCCACCAGGGCTAGCTAGATGAACTCATTCCCTTAGGTCAAATCTTCACCCGTATAAGGACTCCAGTATTTCGGAATCTCAGTCACTGTTCATATCCCAGATAAGACAGGCATTTCCCAGAAAGAGAGCATACCTTCATGCTAATATATCAGCTGAGCTTGGTTAGATTCAAGCAGAGCCTCAGGTCAGCCATTACCCATAAAGCAAGCCAGTAAGAAAAGAGAGACCAGCAGGGAATACCACTATTACCCAGCTTCTGTCAACGCAGTGACCAAGGAGCTCCATGTGTGAAGAGAAACAGTTCACAGAGCTCTAAAACTTTCCAAGAGGAAATCCAGGGGAACAATACTAATCAGACTGTGCTACTTGATTTTGTTGTTTTTTTCAAGAGGATGTCTTTTGTTGTTTTTGTTTCTGTCTTTGCTTTGCTGAGGAAGACTGGCCCTGAGCTAACATCTGTTGCCAATCTTCCTCTTCTTTTTTTCTTCCCAAAGTCCCAATACATAGTTATATATCCTAGTTGTAGGTCCTTCTAGTTTTTCTATGTGGGATGCCACCACAGCATGGCTTGATGAGCAGTGTGTAGGTCCACGCCCAGGATCCAAACCAGGGAATCCCGGGCCACTGAAGAGGAGCACACAAACTTAACTACTAAGCCACCAGGCTGGCTCCTACTATTTGTTTTAAATGTGATCTGTTCCAGCAACAGAAATAAAGATGTGCCCTAAGGCAAGACTAAACCCAGTCCAAGGGGCTAGTGTCCTGTACTTACTCTGTCGCAGCAACCACCCACTCTTCACAAACGCCATTTTTTCACCTACAGGAAAAGAAACAGGTTCAAAGTTACACCCAGAAAAGAGAACGGCTCATGAAAGTTATTTTTACTCACAGCACTTTTGACATCATATGTGTGGGGTTTTTCGAACAACCAATTCTCCAACTCTCAGGACATGAACTGGACAGTACTGATTCAGTTCGATTTTGACACTAACTACCTGCAATTAGCATCAGACCCCATGAGTTAAGGGCTCCGTTCCACAAGAGTACTCCCACTTTAGACACAAGTCCTGGGCAGGCCCATACTTTTGACTTATAAATTCATATGACCTCCTCCTCAGATTTGATAATGTGCTAGCATGGCTCACAGACCTCAAAAAAGCACTTTACTTACTCTACCTGTTTATTAGAAAGCATACAACTCAGGAACAGCCAGAGGGAAGAGATGCACAGGACAAGGTGTGGGGAAAGATGCAGAGCTGTGACGCCCTCTCCAAGCGCACCATCTCCCAGTACCTCTATGTGATCATCATCTCAGCTCTCAGGAACCCTGTCCTTCAGCGGTTTTGAAAGAGGTTCCATTAGGTAGGCACAGATGACTACATCATTGGCCACTGGTGATTAAGCTCAATCTCCAGCCTCCCTCCACTCCAGGAAGGTCCAGGGATGGGGCTGAAAGTTCTGGCCTTCTAATCACAAGGTTGGTTCCTCTGGCTACGTGCCCCATCCTGAAGTTATCCAGAGGCCCACCAAGGGTCATCTCATTAGCATAAACTCAGTCATGATTGAAAGAGGTTTATTACAAATAACAACACTTTAATATCTCACAAAATTCCAAGGGTTTTACAAGTTCACATGTTCTTTCTTATGTAAGAAAATCACAGCAATCCGGTCTAACTCTCCATCCTCATCCCTTTCAGTGTCAACCAAAGCCACTTACCTCACTGGCTACCTGGTATTTACCAAATACCTCCTCAGTGGGGCCAATACAACCTCTCCGCCTCACTTCCCACTCTAGGCTTTAGCCTCAACACCCTGTCCACCTTACTAAGTCTAACTTCACTTAGCAGACATAAAGCAGCCCCAAGAACATGAAGATTTAGCTCTGTCGAGAAGTGCGGCTTCTCCTAAAGTGCCCTATGTCCTGGGGCTCTGAGTCCAGCTGCCTCAGCTTTGCCGCCAGTGTGCCCAGTCAACTTTAACAGCCCAGTCAGGTATGTACTGCTGTCAGCTAGCCGAGTGGCCAGGTCAGAGCAGAACACCAGAGTCATGAAGAAAAAAATCTGATAAATTTAACTCCCTAAAAATAAAAATTTGGATGGCAAAAAAAAAAAAAGGTCAAAAAGACCAATTAAAGGAGAGTGATGCCAGCAACATGGCAGAGTGAGCAGTTTTGTCTCTCCCCCTTCGAACTAGAACTAAATGGACATTCATTTATCAACGAGGATACTCACACAGCACCTCAAGATGCCTGAGAGACCCATGCTGCTATACATGGAAGGTGGATGGACTATCCCAGGGAAGAGAGGGAGATGGGTGAGAACTCTCCAGTCCTGAGACAGGCCAGTATCCACAGTGACTGCTCTCCCAGCTGAAGTACTCACAGCACAGCCACGGCCCTGAGGGTGGCCGTGCCCCTCAGCATGACCATGGAAACAGGTGACTGCAGCCCCAAGACCCCTACTATTGCTCTTTGGACCAGTAGGAAAATCCATGGACCCACTGTGGCCCCAGGGAATGACTCGGGCTCAGACTTGGTAACAAGGCCCCGCCCACCAAGCACAAAGGCTGGTGAGACCTAGGAGCACATGCAGCGCGGCTGGGCGAGCAAACCACCGGATGCCTTAAACACCCAGGGCTCTGCTACAGCCCTGAGGGGGCGAGTGAGATCCAGCAGGACCATGTGAGTGGGCGGTGACAATCCGGAGCCCCAGTGTGACTGCTCCTTAGTCTAGTGGGAAAATCCACAGCCCCACAGCAGCTGCAGGGAGAGTCTCTGCTCAGCCCTAGTGGAGAGGCCCCACCCACAAAGCACAAAGGCTGGGCAACCTAGGAACAGATGCAGCACAGCTGGCTGAGCTAACCACCAGCTGCATTAAATGCACGTAGCTCTGCAGCGGCCCCAATGGAGCAAGTGAAATCTAGGGGGACTGCGGGAGTGGGCGGTGACAATCTGGAGCCCCAGCATGAGCCCTCCTTGGGGAGTGGGGAAAATCCACGGTCCCAGAGTAGCCCCAGGGAGAGACTTGTCTTGGCCCTAGTGGAGAGGTCTCGCCCACCAAACACAAAGGCTGGTGCAACCTAGGAGCAGACACAGGCGGCTGGGCGAGCAACCTGCCAGCTGCCTTAAACCCCCATGGCTCTGCTGCAGCCCTGAGGAGGCAAGTGAGATCCAGCAGGACGAGACGGCAGCGGAGCTGTGAGTCTGGGTGAACAACTCCCAGCTATCTTGAAAGCCCATAACATGTCTGCGGTTCCTAAGGAGAGAGCATGTCTACGCAGATCTATGGAAGCAGGCAGCAGCAGCCTGAAGCCCCCATGTGATCGTTCCCACAGCTGATGGGAGACCCACAGGGCCACTGCAATCCCAAGGATCCCAAGCTGACGGGGGTCCTGGAGGGCACAGATTACACAGTTCCTGCTCCCTCCCCCTAGTGGCACCAAGTGGAGGCAGTAACCAAACTCTACTGCTATGCAGAGGCACAAATCCATGCCATCAAGAAGTATGAAAAGAATATATTAAATCTACAAAACAGAAGAAAAATAACAAGTACCCAAAAAACAATCCAGAAGACAAAGAAATCTATAACCTAATGACAAAGAATTCAAAATAGCTATCATTAAAAAACTCAATGAGGGGCCAGCCCAGTGGCACAGTGGTTAAGTTCTCATGTTCTGCTTTGGCAGCCCGGGGTTCACAGGTTCGGATCCCGGGTGCGGACACGGCACCACTTGGCAAGCCATGCTGTGGCACGCGTCCCATATATAAAGTAGAGGAAGATGGACATGGATGTCAGCTCAGGGCCAGTCTTCCTCAGCAAAAAAGAGGAGGACTGGCAGCAAATGTTAGCTCAGGGCTCATCTTCCTCAAAAAAAAAAAAAATTCAGTGAATTAAAAGAGAATACAGATAGACAACACAACAAGTTCAAGAGCTATGTCACAAAAGAACTTGAAACTATAAAGAACAACCAATCAGAAATGTTGGAGACGAAAAACACAATGGAGGAGATTAAGAAAAATCTGGACTCCCTGAACAATAGGGCTGATAATTTGGAGGACAGAATTAGCAGTCTGTAGAATGGAAATACAGAAATGCTTCAGATAGAGGAGAAGAGAGAAATAAAACTAAAAAGAAATGAAGAACCTCTCCGAGAAATATCCAATTCAATTAGGAAATGCAACGTAGGGATTATAGGTATCCCAGAGGGAGAAGAAAAGGTGAATGGAGCAGAAAGTTTGTTCAAAGAAATAACAGCTGAGAACTTCCCAAACCTGGGGAGGGAGCTGGAAACCCATGCGACAGAAGCCAAGAGTTCTCAAAACTTTATCAATGTAAAAAGACCAATGCCAAGACATACAGTAGTAAAACCAGCTAAAGTCAATGACAAAGAAAAAATATTAAGGGCAGCAAGGGAGAAGAAAATAACCTACAAAGGAACCCCTATTGGGCTGTCAGCAGATGTCTTACAGGCTAGGAGAGAGTAGAATGATATATTCAAAACTCTGAAAGACAAAAACTTGCTGCCAAGAATATTCTATCCAGCAAAAACATCCTTCAGATATGATGGAAAAATAAAATCGTTCCCAGATAAAAGTTAAGGGAGTTCATCGCCACAAGAACCCCCAACAAGAAATCCTCAGGAAGGCCCTCAGACCTGGGGAAAAAAAAAAAGAAAAGGGGTTACAAAACCCTGAGCAAGGAGATAAGTAGAAAGACAAAATCAGAAAATTGCAGCTCTCCATCAGAACAGGTTAGCGAATGCTTAATTATAACATTAAAGATAAAGGGAAGGAAAATGCCAAGAATAAACATAATCTTGTCATTTTAACTACAAACTCACAATATAAGAAGAAAAAAGATGTGACAACAACAACTTCGAAGGGGAAGAGGACAGGGATAGAATTGGCTTAGTCTAAGGGAATAAGAGGCCATCAGAATATGGAATACCTCATCTACGAGATGTTTATACAAACCACAGGGTAACCACTAAACAAATAATTAGAACAGAGACACACATTATAAATAAGGAGAAGACTAAGAAAATCAACATAGAAAACTAACTAACTGAATTGGTAGTCTGAAATACATGGGATGAGAAACAAAGGAAATGAAGGATAGCCAGAAAAGGAAAAATAAAATGGCAGCATTAGGCCCCCACATATCAATAATCACTCTAAATATTAATGGATTGAATTCTCCAAGCAAAAGACACAGAGTGGCAGGATTAAAAAACAAGACCCAAGAAGATGCTGCCTCCAGGAAACACATTCAGCTCCAAAGACAAACACAGGGTCAGAGTGAAGTAATAGAAGATGATACTCCAAGCTAATAGTGAACAAAAGAAAGCAGGTGTCACCATACTTAGACAAAGTAGACTTCAAGACAAAACAGGTAATGAGAGACAAAGAGGAGCAGTATATAATGATAACAGGGACACTCCACCAAGAAGAGATAACACTTATAAATATATATGCACCTAACACAGGAGCATCAAAGTACATAAAGCAACTATTAACAAAAAGAAGATGTCAACAATACAATAATAGTAGGGGACCTCAACACCCCACTTACAGCAATAGATAGATCATCCAGACAGAAAGTCAACAAGGGAACTGTAGAGTTAAATGAAAACTACACCAGATGTACTTATAGATAAATAGAGAGCACTCCATCCAAAAACAGCAGGTTACGCATTCTTCTCAAGTGTGCATACAACGTTCTCAAGGATAGATTACATGTAGGGAAACAAGCAAGCCTCAATAAATTTAAGAAGTTTGAAATAATATCAAGCATCTTTTCTGACCCTAATGCTGTGAAA